CAGCACTCCCAAAGAGACCACATGTCCTGCCGCATATATATATATATATATATATATATATAACATTCGCCCGTTAAAGGTTAATCCTATGTCACCTAAAGCATTATGTAGGTACTAAGTCTGCTCCAAAACTAAAGTCAGTTTTAGCATTTTGACATGACATTGTTACCAGAAGACTGCAGTGAGTATGTACTATCATAAAAAGCTGAAGTTTCATATGATGTGAGTTTGTTGTTATATTAGTAGGCGCAGTAGGGGTACGCGGTAGCGTAGTGGTTAAGGTACTATGCTACAAGCCGGAAGGTCACGGGTTCAAGTCCCGATGAGGTCATTGGATTTTCTCAATTGACCTAATCATTCTGGCCGCACTAGGCCCTGGGGTTTACTCAGCCTCTAACAGAAATGAGTACCAGGAATTAATTAAATAATTTTCTTGGGGAGTGAAGCACGGCCGGTGTGTAAGGCTGACAACCTTACCACCATCTTTGAGCCGATTTTCAAGGTAATGTGGGACCCTTAACATCTCACAACCCTATGGGCCTTCACGGCCTGTTACAGGGATAGCTTTACTTTTTTTTTTTACTTTATTAGTAGGCGCAGTAAAAAGAAAAGTAAAGGTATCCCTGTAACAGTGCGTGGAGGCCCATAGGGTTGTGAGATGTTGAGGCTCCCACATTTTCCAGACAGTCGGCTCACAGATGGTGGTGAGGGTGTCAGCCTTACATGCCCGCCGCTCTTTATCCCCAAGAATATTCTGGTACTCCTTTCTGTTAGAGGCTGAGTCAACTCCAGGGCCATAGTGCAGCTGGAAGTATTAGGTAAAATGAAAAATCCACCTCATCAGGATTCGATCATGCGATTAGTAGGCATATTAAGCTCATTAAATAAAGAGGGATGAGCATGTAATGTGCAGGAGGGAAAACATGACAGCATTTCATTTTAAGATCCTGTGATTGGGAACATTTGGGGGACTTGGCATAGATGCAGTCTGGTCTTCAGTAATATTTGTACTGACTTGCCACAGGCAGTTCACTAGAGGCCAGTGGTAAGTGTGAAAGTATTTATATGGTGTGTACTATAAGGCAAGTGAATTTTATTAAATAAATTATGGGTTTGAATTGTATTTATTTCTTTTAATAGGGTAGTATATTTATGTTGATTGACCTGCCTCTTGAATATGAGAATAATATTAAAGTAGATCTTGGAGAAATACATATAGCACTGGTGATTTTGAACTATTAGGAGGCTTATTATTATCCTCCCACCTCCAGCAGAGTTCCGTATGCATTTCTTTCCTTTTCGTTATATTCAGACTGTTATAACCCCTTTTTTATTTCATTAGCTTAACAATATTGTGTGACCTGTATAAATCGAAGTGTTCTTTGTTGTATAATATTTTCCATTCTCTATTTATCTCATTTCTCTTTTGTCCATATGTTATCCCATGCATTCTTTTAACTCTTGCTGTTTATGTCTTCCCCCCTAAAGGTGTAGACAATGTTTTACAACAGTACAGACTCTCTGGTACATGTCTTAACCTGCAGCACTGGGGAAGTAAGTGGGATGACCCTAGATGATTTATTTAGAATCTGTATTAACACTTTGCGGACCTGCGATTTAAATATTTAAATCACCCTGGGGACCGGCATTTTTATACCTACTACCCTAACTTGTGCACAGTTCACTTTAAAAATTAATATAAAATTTCCTAATTAATTTTATGAACTAAAATATTTGGAGAACACTTTCAAATGCTCCTAGAAGTGCTTGAGAATGTGATATTTCTGGAAACATTCCCCTTTGTGAAGTGGCATTACAGAGAACTTGCAAATGTAGACATGCTTCTTTTTTTGTGAACTGTGGAAACACGACATTGCCTAGAAAGATGCTTCTCCTTGGAATGTTCACTCTTCACAGTTTTCATGAGGGTATGTTTCCGCATATCACCCGAGAGTTGCCCTGTGGGATGCACATGAGGCTTGCGTGGGGTGGGATTGGATGGGCACGGTCGCACTAAGTCTGTGTCTGACTCTGGTTCTGCCGCCACCATCTGGTCTGTAGCCCAGGGCTTTGCCACATTAATCAGAAATGCTTTGTATTTCAGTTTTGAATCAGGGTTTAGATTTTTGTGATTAAATTTTTTCTGTCCCCACAATGTTATTACTCCCATTATCGTCGGAGCTATGATCACTTTTACTGTCTGTGGCCACAAGTGGCCATAATTCTTTGCTCTCCCCTGTCACTTCTGCTCTCTCAAACACCATAACTGTGCATCTCACAAGGCAGGTCAGCTGGCTCAAAGAATTTGTCCTTGTCCATACCCCAACACTAACTACTGGCTGATACATACAGCTTGAAGTGCAACAAAGCATTATCGCTTATAGTGGCTTAAGAAAACAGCGAGATCAACTTACTGACAAGTAAGCGAATATTCCAGAGTTTTATTACGCCATTGCGTACAACTTGGGTGGCGCCAGAGAGATGTATAGTGTGTTGCAACTTATCGTGTTTTAAAAACCTGTTAACAGGTGAAAGGTCCGCCATGTTTAAAAGCAAAAAAACCTTTTAAAGGGTTCGTGGTCTGCAAAGTGTTAAGACTTTGCCACAGAGTTTGAGTTCATCATATCGTCATATGTTTTGTCTTATATCTGCATACTTCTAGACCAATTTATTTGATGGCCTGTAGAATTTATGCATTATTCTTTATTGTGTGTATTTTATCAAATCAACTTCAACATATATGAGTAGCTGATATGTGTTATTCAATTTCAGCACTAACTAATAACATTGTGTATGCTCTGTGTTACAGAATTATCGGGCACGCAAATGCAGCATCGTACAGGAGGAGGAGGACGAAGATGATATGAGCAGCTCAGGTCGTGAGGAGCTTACTGCTCCACACAACTCCCTGAATCGTCGTGGATCACGTTCAGAGGGGAAGCTAAATATTGCATTACAGGAGCGACTGGCAGAGTCAGAGCGACGCAAGGAGAAGGCTGCAACCACTTCATCGGGCCAGAAAGCTCCATCTCAGGCTAGCAGTGGTTCCCCAGGCATTCTGAGGGTTGCTGCCAGGGATGATACAAGTTCTCCAGCTGTCCCATCATGGGCCCCCCCAGCAAAGAAGACCTCCCCTGGCAGCAGCTTAGACATGAGACCAAAATCTGCAGCAGAGTCTACATCAAAGGAAAATGTTCCAGCAGCTTACATTCCTGGCAGTAACAAGTGGAAAGTCACTCCAAAGCAGCCTGGTCCAGTTTCACAGCCTCCCTCACTGCCAAGTGTGAGAGTCTCTTGTGTATCCAGTACATCCATCATCACAGAGTCTTCCACTATATCCATACCTGTCCATACACTGTCGGCATCAGGGATACCGCTCCTTCCCAAATACAAGACAATGCCCACTCCAACTCGACCCATGCATTCTGTGCTTAGCTCTCCACAATTAGCATTAAATGAAATCTTTGAAGAAGGTGATGGTGGTGAAAATTTAGGGCCACGTCCCAGTTCCCGAGTTGTAGGTCGTCAGCAAGGCCAAGGGAGACCTGGAGGCTATGAACAGCGCCGTAGCAAATTTCACAAAACCAGAACAGCTTCATGCAGCTCGTCAGATGCAAGTGATGATGACAGTGAAAGTCGAAAGAAAAGGGCTCATAAACTGGGTGAAACTGGGAAGTCCTTGCCACAGCGTAGAGATTCCCATGATGACTCTAGTGACTCGCAAGACCCAGGGGGAAGTGGGGGGACAGGTGGTGGTGGTGGAGGGGGAACACCTGCAGGTGGGACAGAGTGTGGAAGTGGGCCTCCAGCAGGAGCAGGAGCTGACATATCTGACAGCTCACGGACGTCTGGGGGGAACAGTAATGCAGGAAGTGGTGGGAAGCGTCAGTGCAGTGAAGCATCCCAACAGCCCTCCCTGAGCCGACGTCACAGGACAGGGAGGCGCAGGGCTGGTGAGACAAGATTGCGTGAAAGTCAGTCCCTGAACAGGATTACTGAGGTTCAGGAAGCAGAGCAGACTTGTAATTCATCTGTTGTGACATCACGCTCAACTTCTAGTTCTGCCTCCTCTCCCAGAGTGCGTGGGTTTGGTGCAAGGTTTCTGCAGAGCTGGTCTCTGGCAGGATCCACACCAAAACGAGTGGCAGGTAGTGAGGTTAAGAGTAGCACCCAGCAATCTGATGTGGCTTCTGTTTTGAACAGCACAGCAGGACTGCAGGTGGCTCCCAGATCCCCCAACACCTTGGAAACAAATTGTTGTGCTGAAGAGAAGGAGAATTTCTGCCACATGGGTGTGTCAAAGAATACTTCTCCCATGACAGAAAAGCAAAAAAGTGGTGGCAATAAGAAAGGACGCTTGTTAGGGCGTTACTTTCAAGTACACAAGAAACTCTGTCTCCCATTGCCAGGATTATTCAATCGTGGACGCTTATATAAAGCTCAGTCTTGTGGTTCCATCGTTCGAGATCGTGTTGTGCCACCATCTCCGGCTTCATTGCTGCTGTGCAGTGATGACAGATGGTGTCCTGTAACTTCAGGCAGTAGTACCAAGGGGGCAGGTCCTGATGATAATAGGCACATGGTAAGTAATGGCAATGCGGGTGATATTAATCAGAATCTTGGGCTTAGTGATGCTCTGGTTATGGCAGATGGTGTCATTCCTCTTGGTGCTACATGTCCAGGGATTGATATGTGTCAGATCCACCTGGGAGATGCATCCAAGCGTTGTAACCTCTGCTGACATGTAACTTAATGAAGTTTGAAATATATTAGATTGGGCAGATGGAAAATCTGGTATTATATAGTATTTATAGCTTAACTTAATGTTTTTTTTTTATTTAGATATAGTGCATATTTTTGTGTACCAGTTGCCATAACATTTCTACCCAAGGTTTCTGAGAACAGTATGAAACCAAGTCATTTGTTGTTGTATTCTGAATAAAAAATGTTGTCTGTTGTAATATTTGCAGTACATTTGTTGCTACATACATATGTATATACCTAGCAAACTGTCATCATTTTGCAAACAAGTTGGAAGTGGTTCTTGTTGTACAGTGTTATAAGCATATGTAGTTCATTGCTATCTTGCAGCTTGGGTAGGTGAGTCAGGTCTAGCTAGAACTGCAGAGGGTGGAATATATTCCCTCAGATTTCCAGATCTTCTCACTGTGACAAGTTATATGTAACTTGCATTGTTGTGTCCCATGTACCATATCTTAATAAGAGTTTCAAACCTAATCATTAAAGGACTCGCATAATAAGTGACAGTCATTTTGTTCCATTGAAATCAGTGACATGATCTGCATGTTCTGTTCAGAGGTCTTCTTTTCCATTAGAAGGATCACCATAAGTCCTGATGATGAATATGGAGATCTCTGAAGTGTTGGTTTTCAACTCAACATTTTCGTATATGATCGCCCGAGAAGATTTTAGCACATTTATTTGCTGTGAAAGCTTCAAATCTTACATGTTCTATATAGTTGGGTTAGTAATGAATTTGTAACAACATTTTTATACATGTGCATACATTATTTCATTTTGGATTTTCTAACCCAGTTCGGGTGGAGTTCAGAAGACCGTTTTGTGATAAAATATAGTTTAATCTCATATTCAGTATTTGACAAGTAAGGGACTGAGGTTGTGTACTTGTGAAGATTGTGCATCAAACAGTTTTACTTTCTTACAACCAATCTACAGGCTATGCTAGAAATGATAAGCTATTTCATATACATTGTGATGTCTATATCCAAGATAAATCTAAAGCGTTAAAAATAAAACATTTTACATATTTGTTCCCTCTTATAAGTACTGTTTGAATTACATAAAGTAGAAAACCAGCCTCTAAGCATCAACCAGACTGGATTGTGGTAAGCTTGAGAGATCCCCATTCCACTTAATGAGTTCGCTGGTAAGAAAAAGGAAACATAGTCACTTTTAATTTACACTTGGTTACTTTATCAGGCATTTTTGCACTAATGACATTAAATTGAAGCCTGTCCATTGCAGCTTACTTGGTTGCAGTACCTTTATTTGTGATCATAATGCTGCAGAAAGTCAAGTGATTAGCTTTGGAGAACATAATGATGTTATGGAGAATATCACGCTCTTACATAGATACTTTTGCTAGACTGACTAATGTCACTTCCTCTGGTAACTGCTTATATGCCCTGTGGTCTGGCCTTATAGTGATTTTGTCCCTAGTATTTTTGCAATTCTCTGTCTGGCTGAGCTTGTATTACATTACTTTTGAATCAGTATTACATCTCAGTCCTAGGTTCCTTACTATATCTTACATTCACAATAACTTGCACAATACAACCAAGTCTGCACATTCCTACAGCTTGTGTTATCTTCTTCAAAGACCTAAACCCACATAAAAGTTTGGCACACTGCTGCACTTGAATGTTCCTTCCCATTTGTGAAAATGGAAGGATGTGGTAAGTTTTGGAAACCACAGTGTTGAACTGGGGGCAGAAGTTAATACAGTTAATTAGTGTGTGTCTCAAATACTTTCTGTAAATTTTGAAAATCAGCTGTGGTTTTATTGTGTAGTGATGGTGTACCACAGTGTCCATATTGGTAAGGGAATGTTATGTAAAACGATTCTCATGAATGATAATGTCTTATATGTTTGTTTCTGAATTTTATTAATTTTTGAAGTAATTGAATGACATGTATGTTTGTACCTTGCTAAAGTAAGATACAAAACATGTTATTTTATATTGAGTTGATATGGTACACAAATTTCAGTACTTTTAGATACATACAGTCAACTCTCGATTATCCGGGATAATGGTGGGGATGGAAATCACGATTAATCGAAAACCCGGTTAACACAAATTTTATTAAAAGTAGTACTGTAATACTGTACCTTCATAATACTATAGGCCTACCTGTATTTAAATTTATTCAACCTCATTTTTATGTCATCTCATGGCCTATTTAATACTTTTTTTTTTTACATTACACTGAAGTATGAATTAGTTATTTCAATCACAGTCTTCAACAACATCCAACACTTTTTACGAATATTTACACTTAACACTTAAAAAAATTTAATATTGTCGTTTACTTTTTCGCGGCATTTTCCTTTTTCTGTTGAATACTTAACACAACACGCTTCCTTTTACACCCTGACATTTTGCTAAGGCACTTGAAGATCGATACAAAGAGACCAATTGGGGCGGTGTATCTATCCTTGAAACTTTCCACAAATCCTTGCATTCTTTCACCCCTACCCTAGAACATTGTGTTAGCATAACGGGACCAAAGAATGCAGAGCTCGGTTCACACTAGTGCGAAAATAGTGTTACAACTCACCATGTGAAACAAAAAGTGAATGAATATTAAACAACATATAAGCCTCAAAAAAGCCCCAGTAGCCACGGTTAAGCCGCAAACCGGTTAATCCGCCCCCGGATAATCGAGAGTTGACTGTACTTGTTATCTTTGTACAGCAGTTCTGAAATGCAGTCAGCTGGCAGCTGCTTTCTTGAATAACATAAAATGTCAGAAGTAACCAGGTTCCACAAAAGCAACATGTATCTGCCTGGCTCTCAGTCTGTGTTTCAGTTTCAGGCACCAGTACATATATAGTTCCAGAAAGTTCTGGGACAAGTGATGCATCTGCACTGTGGAAGGTAGGCTGATGCTTGTTGAGACATGCATTCCCCCTGAGAATGGTTAGTGGATTTGTTCAGTTGCCATTAAACTAGCAGAAGTGATAGATCCCAGGGGAGACTGCACTGTGAGGGAAGTCCCTAAGTAGGGAAATGAATTGCTGTGGCCTGCAGGCTAGCAGATTTGTGACAGCAGTTGGGAAAATTGGTGATGGAAGCATTGAGTGTGTTTAGAATAGTCTATGGCAAACAGAAGCAGAATTCATAATGAGTGGCTTCAATGTGGGACCTGTCTCAGAGCTTGAAAGTACCACATTTTTTAGACACTCAGGGTGGTTTTTGTGAAACTTCATATGAGTAGTATTCTGTTTTACACTTCTTAATCTTTCACTTTCTAAGTCCTGAAGCCATTGATTACAGTGTGATGATTGTGCAAATTTCTGAAGTAAGATCAGCATTGCCATTATTCAGTGAAAGATTACAGAATTTTTTTTTGTGGCAGTAGATATTTGAACATCCATAAATTTACTTGGACATCCCCTGATGGCAAGATACACAGTCAGACCATATTTTGATAGATAGGAGACGGCACTCAAGTATACTTGATGTCCAATCATTCAGGGCAGCAGATTGTGGTACTGACCACTACCTGGTGGCAAAGGTTAGGGAAAGACTGGCAGTGAGCAAACAAACAACACGCAGAGTTCATATGGAGAGGTTGAATCTCAAGAAATTAAATGAGTTAGAGGGTAAAGAGCAGTATTGTGTTCAAATCTCAAATAGGTTCACGGCTTTGGAAACTGAGGTGGATGTTAATAGAGCTTGGGAAACTATTAAGAGAGAATATAAAAATGTCTGCCAAAGAGAGAGTACATTATTATGAACCGAAGAAGCATAAGCCTTGGTTCGATGAAGGATGCTCAGAATTATTAGATCAAAGAAAGCAGGATCCAAGTGAGTTAAATGGGGATAATCTGAACAATATAAGACGTGAAACCAGCAGGCATTTCAGGAACAAAAAGAGGGAATACCTGAAAAACAAAATTTATGAGCTTGCAATGGACAGTAAGAACAAGTACATTAGAGACCTGTATAGAGGAATAAATGACTTTAAGAGGGGTTACCAGCCTAGCAGTAACTTCTTAGTGAAGGATGAGAATGGTGATCTGCTTGCAGATTCCCACAACATTTTGAATGGGTGGAGGAACTACTTCTCTCAGTTATTGAATGTACATAGGGTCAGTGATGTTAGGCAGACAGAAATCGATACAGCTGAGCAGTTAGTACCTGGTCATAGCCCTTTTGAGGTTGAAAGTGCTATGGCGAAATCGAAACGGTATAAATCGCCAGGTAGTGATCAAATTCTGGCTGAACTTATTCAAGAAGGCGGAGAAATATTACATTCTAAGATCTACAATCTAATTACTTCTATTTGGTATAAGGAAAAATTGCCTGATCAGTGGAAGGAGTCTATTATTGTACCAGTGCACAAGAAGGGTGATAAAACTGACTAGTAATTATCGGGGGATATCACTGCTATCAACTTCATATAAAATTTTGTCCAATATTCTTCTTTCAAGGTTGAGTCCCTATATAGATGAAATTATTGGGAATCATCAGTGTGGGTTTCAACGCAACAGATCAACTACAGATCAGATCTTTTGCATTCGTCAGATATTGGAGAAAAAATGGGAGTATGAGACAGTACATCAGCTATTCATAGACTTCAAGAAAGCCTATGATTCAGTTAGGGAAGTACTGTACAATATTCTAATAAGAGTTTGGGATACCCATGAAACTAGTTAGGTTGATTAAAATGTGTATAAACAAAACGTATAGTAAAGTCTGTGTAGGTAAACATTTGTCTGATAAATTTCCTATCCAGAATGGTCTAAAACAGGGAGGTGCTTTATTGCCACTCCTTTTCAACTTTGCCTTAGAATATGCAATTAGGAAGGTCCAGGGAAACCAGGTGGGACTGAATTTAAATGAGACACATCAGCTGTTGGTCTATGTCGATGATGTGAATCTACTGGGTGATAATGTAGATACCATAAGGAAAAACAAACTTTAATTGACGCAAGTAAAGAAGTTGGTCTAGAAGTAAACACAGAGAAAACTTAAGTATATGTTACTGTCTCATTACCAAAATGCAACAGATGTTTTGAATATGTGGCACAGTTCAGATATTTGGGAACAAGGATAACAGATTGAAACCTGATTCAGGAAGAAATTAAGAGGCGATTGAACTCTGATAATGCTTGCTATCATTTAGTCCAGAACCTTTTGTCTTCTCGTCTGTTGTCCAAAAACGTAAAAATTAGAATATACAAAACTATAATTTTGCCTGTGGTTCTGTATGGGTGTGAAACTTGCTCTCTGACATTAGGGGAGGAACATAGACTCAGGGTGTTTGAGAACAAGGTGTTTAGAATATTTGGACCGAAGAGAGATGAAGTGACAGGAGGTGGAGAAAACTGCATAATGAGGAGCTTCATAACTTGTACTCTTCTCCAAGTATAATTAGAATGATCAAGTCAAGGAGGATGAGGTGGCAGGTCATGTATCACGAATGCGGGAGACAAGGGGTGCGTATAGGATGTTGGTGGGAAAGCCAGAAGGAAAGAGACCACAGGGAAGACCAAGGCACAGGTGTGTGGACAGTATTATAATGGATATTAGAGAGAGAGAGGATGGTATGGATTGGATAGATCTGGCTCAGGATAGGGACCAGTGGAGGGCTCTTTTGAACATGGTAATGAACCTTCGGGTTCCATAAAATACTGGGAAATTCTTGAGTAGCTGCAGAATTGGTGGCTCCTCCAGAAAGGCTCAGCTCCATGAGTAAGTAAGTAAGTAAGTAGATCTTTGAAGGTATGCAGCTTTTATTGGATTACTTCTTCAGGGAAACATTAACCCTTTGACGTGGTCATTTAAATTCCGCGGCCGCGGCTCCTGCGGTAATATATTCAGCCGGCCATTTAAATTTTGCTCGAAAATTATTTATTCATCATTGTTCTTAAATTCTATGAGATAGGAACATGAAACTTTCACTAAAATGATCTTAAATTGTGGTTTTATAACCTTACCTTATAATATGGGAGCCCTGTATCTCGGCCATGGGTGCAGGTTGTTTAGTATTTGAGCAGTGAATGGTACGCCTTGAAGGATGAAACTTTCACTAAAATGATCTTAAAAGATGGTTTTATAACCTTGCCTTATAATATGAGCACCCGGTATCTCGG